CCCTACTTACGTCTTGCTTGGAAATGGAAAAGTGGCTGGGACCAAGTGCCACCATCTGGGCAGGGAGGCTGCCGCCATGCTGGGGCATCCAGGGTGTGCATCTGCACCTGAGGCTTTAACAGTTTAAGAAAGTTCTTCAACAAGAAGCCACTGTGAACAGCCACCCTGCAAGCCACTGTGTTGCTTGCTTAATTATTTGTAAATCACTAAAAGCTGCTCAGGTAAAAGTTGCTTTAGAAGCAGCCACAGTCCTTTTGCAGTTTTGCTTCCCTCTTGAAGGTAGTCCAAGGAACAGATGGGGCAGTTACTGACCTGTGAGCCTTCCCTGTTTCACAGGTGGGTGAAGAACAGTATCACGGCCAGAATCAGCTGATTTCCAACCTACAAAAGGAGCTGGCTGCCTGCGACAGCTCAAACAGCGGATCCCTGACCAGCAAGCAGTTCAGGCAAGAGGCCGACTGTCGCCCACCGAGCTCTGCCCACGTCTGGCACACGTCAGATGTTGTGATATGCTGAGTCTGTCTGCTTTGCTTATCTGCCAGCGCAGCCAGGGGAGGAGGTTTTCTCTCTTTTAAATTCCTGCGCGGACAGCTCTAGCAAGGCTATACTTGTTAACCTCTGCATTAGGTTTAGAATAATGTGAATACTGCAAGTTTTGAGGAGTGCAACTGAAGAGGCCCGAGAGCAGACATGGGGTGCTTCACACATGCAGTGGGACAGGCTGGCAGCCCCTGCACCCTGCCACGCTCCCCGAGGGGACACGGGACCCTACGCAGTGCTCCCACGAGCTCCTGTGATAGGTCACAAAGCATTTCTGTGAATTTTGCTACAGGTGCAAGGTTGGTCAATCTTCTCCCAGTTAATCAATCAGCCGTGCCTTCATAAGTGAAACTCTAAATACAGCATTTCTTTGGGCCATAGCACAGAAGAGAAGCACCAGCCATTTCCAGCACTTAGCTGGGAACGCGGCGCTGGTACAGACACGCCAACCAATTCGGTCTGGGCTACCAGCTAACCCATACTCACGGTTGCATTCAGAGTTTCCCACATGGCTTAGCATCCAACGCCCACCTGAGTCCTGAGCTCTGCTGAAAGCTTTGCCCTTGTTTTGGTGTCTGAAGGTGCACGTGCTTCTTGAAATGTGTTGCCTGTGAAAGCAATGAATTTTTCAAGATCTGGAATAAATGAAGACCATGGAATACATGCACTCACTGGTAGCCTAAAAAACAGCCAGCCACACTGGCAGTCGTTAAGTGCTCGTACTGTAACAGCATACAGACTTCTGTCCGTATTGCCTGTCTCCATACAGCACGGCTGTGAGGGAAGCTTTTCCCCTGAAAAGGAAAGAGTCAATCCAAGAACTAGTGGATGCGAGCGGGTGCAAGCTGGACAGCACTGAAGACCTCATCGACTACATGTCCTTATTCAAAGAAGTAAGCTGATGTTACTTAAGTTTTCCTTTTGATTCAGATTAAGCCTAATTTAGGGCTTAAATTAGTCTTACCAGACTAATTAGGTTTATCAGACTAACGAAGTTGCAGTGCCCACCACAAGCTCTAACACCCGAAGGCCATCCGTAGACAATGGCAATGCAAGCTTGTGCCTTTTCTATGATAGTTTTTCTTCCCTATTCTCTCTCTTTATTTCCACTTTTCACGTGGAAATTCCATTTCTAGGAGGGCTGAGTTATTTTAATACACATTGGGGGGCAGCTCCTATCGAGACTGGAACACATGTTCTGTGCTAACGCACCTGTAATTTCTTTCAGGATGAGGAGGGGAACGCTGAACCTTTCGTTGCAAAGCTCAGGACCCAGTATGTCAGGGAGAAGCAGGAGTACCTAAGACAGCTGAAGGACAAGCTGGGAGATTTAACGTAAGTATGGAGGGAAGGGGCTGACGGGGAGAGCAGATCAGGACAGCACGTGTAGAGGGAACCCCCCTGTGGACACAGGAGTGCGTGGCCAGTGCAGGGCCCTCTGCACTATCAGAGGGCCCCAGCTGTGAATATTCCAGTAAATACCAAAACCTGGCTGAGTCCTGCTCTGCAAAACACTGCACAGTGTCAGTTCCTGACCCAAAGGACTTGGATATGGCAGGCAGTGAGTAGAGAAGATTGGTTGTACCAATAATCCCCTTCAGTACTTGAAGTCTCATATCCCACCACTCCTCAGCTCTCCAAAACCAGCAGTAAAATCCTGTACAACCTCAGAGGCTGGTTCTGAGGAGTGGGAAGAGTGAACAGGACTGACAACCGCGGATTTAAAGAAATAATTCCCCCTCAAAACAAGATAAACGAGAGGCAGTTACTGCATAGGAAAAAAGTCTGGTGCCAGGCACTGAGCACTGAGGAGAACACTGAAGATGGGTAAGTACCGTCCAACGCGGGCACTGAACTAGCAAGGGAAAATGTAGTTCTGTAACAAAGGATATCACAGTGCACAAGGGTGAGTTTAAGGTCTTGCCAGGTTATCACAAGTCTAACATTTCCTAACTTCTGTTCAGTTTGAAATTTAGTACTTAGCAGACTTTATTACATGCGTATTTAAAAACCAAAGGGTAGTAGAGGCAGAGATAACAATATCAAATTCTCTGCTCTGCAATTCAAGCAGCATGGATTCTCACTGTGGCACAAAACTATAAAAATTCCTTTCACATACCACAGCATAGCAGTGACCGAGTTGTTTTTGAACAGAGAGGTGAACGCAGATGATCTGAAGACTGCCTTCTGCACGATCGATCCCGATATTGATGATCAGACACTAGATACCTACATTGGTCTGGCTTATCAGGTCCGAAGAGAACAGCCAGACCAAGAAGTTGTCCCTGTGGAAACTGCACTTGAGAGACTGCTCGCCGGAGATGTGAGACGAGTAGGGCCCTCACCCAGGGAGGGAAGCACGGCAGGCTTCGAAGGAGAGTAAGGAAACTTCCAATATTAAGAATAAATGGACTGTTTGATCTCCAGGTTTGGATAATAAGCTGAGAGTCAGAATTACTGCACTAAATACTTCTTCCCGTGCATACAGAGATACACCTAGTAACTAACAGTAGAGAGGATAGGCTAGCTTGAGCTATCAGAAGCACTTTCAGCTTAAGCAGCAAAGCACTCCAGTACAACTTTGCAGCCTATCCAGAGTCATTTCAGCTCAGCGAGACTTGCAGTGGGAGGTTGCCGGATCCCCAAACAGAGGCTTCACACCCTCACGGCACCGGGGCACCGCAGGGTGCTGGGCTCTCTGCTTGGTGACAAAACAACTACGCTCCAACGGTCATTACTTGAACCTGAGAAGCCACCATCAAACTCCAGGCTGCAACGTGGCTGCTTTAGCCCTCGGGCCTTACGGTTCCTTGGCTCAAAGAGGGAGGGTTTCAAAGATACGTTTGCAAAATAAGGTGCCATCAGCACAGTCAGGGTGCAAGTGAAAGGTCCATTCAGCCCACGCCAGGTTTGCTACCATGTCTGTCCCCAGGGAGACTTTTATCTTGGTGTAGCTGCTGTTGTCCAGTATGAAATCACTTTGAAAGAAATTCAAGTGCTGCCCCACGTGTAGGTTTAACCAAACTGAGCTGGAAGAGCAAACCAAGCACAGAAACACAAAAATCTGTCCCTTGCTTCAAGGAAGACACCACATGCATTCTGGTTACGGCCTTTCCAACCACTGGCATCAGTTAATCTTTCCTATCCATTAGTGTCCTCTCTATCCAGCACATAGCCCTCTCCAGGGAGGGGACTAAGGGTTCATGAAACAAGAACCCCGTAGGAAAGCAGCTCTGCTATGGTTATGCCTAAATTGCCGAGTAAGTGGAGCAACCCCGAGAAGCAAAACCTGTTCTTTTTCTCATAGCATAGTTTGAAAAGAAAGAGGAAAGCCGAAATCAGAAGGTGCCTTCCTAACAAAGGAAGGCGTCTTGCAAAGACTGATTGCACTTGGAAAGGCATCACAGCCTGCGTGACAAAGTACCCCCCAGAGGTACGAGGCCCCTGGGACTTCTGCCTTGAATACTGAATTTGGTGCTGAGCACCTTCAGCACAAATTGCAAAATACCAGGAAAGGAACGATAAAAGATTGAAAGGGAGATGCGTCGTCTAGCTAGAAACCAAATGTCCTAACTGCAGGTATCTCTAGGGGTATTCTGAAAGGAGGAGTTGTAATATGGCAAAATTCCGTATATCTAAAAAGAACAGGGAACTTAAATACAGAGAAAGTCTCTGGTAGATGAACATTGGGTTTGCAAAGCTTTTCAAGAAAGCCCCTAACGGGGAGCATTGGGCTACGGAGAGCGGGAGTCCCTCGTTTTGCTTCACCCTGAGGACTTTAGATTCCAAAAAGTTAACTGCTGTTTACAGTGGCAGGTATCTCTTTCTTTTCCCCTTCCAGTTACATCATTAGGACTTGAACAATGTGTCCCTAAAAATCTTGAATTTAGTTAACCCTGACTTTACTGCAACTAGACGCTGAAGACATCTCAACAGAAGAGAAGGACCAGATGGGGAATCTTACCTCTCCCTCTCACAGCGTTCCCACCCATCGAAGCCCCATCGTCTCCTGCCTTCAGCTGGAAGCCGTTCAGGTCAGGAACCCGGCAGCTGAGGAAGCTGGTTGCAGACGTGTCTCCTAGCAGCACGGCTGCATGAGGAGGCAACGCAACGGAAGGAAAGAGGAACCAGCAGCTTCTTCCTGGGAGGTTCTCTCCGTTCTCTCCTTCGGAAAAGAGGGTTCTCGGGGTGCTTCTGTGTTGGAAGAACACAGAAGCTTTCTCTGTGTTGCCACACAGAGAAAAGAAGTTGGAAGCTTACTTCAGATCAAAATTTTCAATTTTCAAAAAAAGTTCTCTCCTTCGGAAAAGAGGGTTCTCGGGGTGCTTCTGTGTTGGAAGAACACAGAAGCTTTCTCTGTGTTGCCACACAGAGAAAAGAAGTTGGAAGCTTCATTACTACTTCAGATCAAAATTTTCCAACTCTGGCATGCAAAGCCTTGAGGACACACTCAGAAAGTCCCATAATGGCAGAAAATTTATTTTAAAATGTACAAGTTTTGCAATGTGTTTGTTCAAAGAACAAAGGTGTTTCCTTTTGAATATTGCAAAAAATCCCCTTTGTTGTATTAATGGAATTACTTTAAAAAAAAATACTGGAAAAATGACTGACCTTTGTATTGGCGTTGCCTGCCAAAGAGATTTTAACTATATTGGTCATCATTTCCTTTAGCGTTGTGCAAAACCTGCTTAACTTGCGAGTGTTGCTGCCAGGAGCTGGGTTGGATTTCCAGGAGTCCGCACTAACTGCGCCATTTGGCTGCGGTTTTGGGAAACTACGCTGCGCACACAGCTTAATCCAGAGACAAAGATCCACACTTGCAGCGGGATTTAGGACAGGCTTAGGATGGGGAGAAACAACCAGAGGGTGGCAGGTATCCTGCGTGACCGTCAGACTGGCTGCACCGGCGCAATCAGAGCCTGCGCGGACTGTCCCGCCCCGGGAGCCTCGGAAGAGCCACCACGGAGATGGTTTGCGCTGAGCTTTGACTTACCCCGACTGGACGTGCTGACCACGCTCAGCCCCGCTCCGTCCCGTTTGAGACCGCAAAGCAGCAGCCTTGAGCCATCCCTTCTTCACAGACATCTGGAAATCAATCAATCAATTTAAAGACTCAAATCTAAGTCAAATTAATCAATTTAAAGGCTCAGGGTTTTCAAGTTCAAGACAGAGATGCTAAGAATTAGGGGGAAAAAATAAAATCTATCCATTTTTCTCAGAAATCAAATAAGCACCGTGTCTTACCTCGGGAATTACAGACTAGCTAAATAAAAGGAAACCACGCTAGTGTGTCAGGCTGACTCACTGGAAAGACACGAAGAAAAACATGCAAGAGAAGGTTTGATACCCATACCCGTCCCTCCGAAACTGGTGTGGGTGACAGGCATCATTCTTCCCCAGCTTGTGAATTGTTTTACAAGGTCACAGTCCTTTGCACCTGAGATCCTCTGCTGTGGCTGACCTCATTCCTGGCGTGGTTTAGGTTCACTGTAAGCAGTAAAATCGTACACACGAAGTTTGCTTTAATTATCTCCCTACTTGAGGAACACAAGGGAGCACAGTGCGGCCCAGCTCCTCTGTGCAGCAACCGCCTGTATGAAACCACGGGTGGAAAGCTAAGTGGCACCGAGGCTCACGCCGGGAGTGGAGCAGCAGAAAGCACACGCGTGTGTCAAAGACGCAGAGGATTTATTTGCACTTGTTACTTACAGAGTCGCTGCTTGGATCTTGCAGCTTTAGATCATGATCCACGCCAGCACACAACGCTACCGTGACCCATGAGCGGTCTGACCTCTGCAGAGCAAGCCGCAGCTCACGGAGCCGGACCCTGCTTCACAGAGCAGCTTCTGGCACTGCCTGCCTCCTCGGTGACACTGCCAGGCGGGAGCAGTGACTTTCCAGATATATTTCTGTACGTAGACAGTCAGAGGACAGCACCAGGGCTGGCAGAAAACAGCTGTGGAAGCGCGGCCTTCAGCCGTGTGGTTACACCATCTGCAATGGGGTGGTTTGACCATAGCTGGCTGCCAGTCACCCACCCAGCTGCTCTCTCACTCCCCCTCCTCAACAGGACAGGGGAGGAAGGAAGATTAAAAAAAGCTCACGGGTCAAGATAGAGACCGGGAGATTGCTCACCAATTACCGGCACGGTCAAAACAGACTTGACTTGGGGAAGATTAATTTATTGCCAATTAAAAATAGATAGGACAGTGAGAAACAAAGACAGAACTAAAAGGACCTTCCCCCCACCCCTCCTTCTTCCCAGGCCCAACTCTCTCCTCCCCGCCACACAGTGCATGGAGAAAGGGGGGTTCAGTCAATCCATAACACTTTGTCTCTGCTGCTCCTTCCTCACGTTCTTCCCCTGCTCCGGCGTGGGGTCCCTCCCATGGGACACAGCCCTTCAGGAACTGCTCCAGCGGGGGTCCCCCACAGCTCCCTGCCAGCAAACCTGCTTCTGCGTGGGCTCCTCTCCAGGGGCTGCAGCTCCACCTGCTCCGGCCTGGGGTCCTCCACGGGCTGCCGGTGGGTATCTGCTCCACCGTGGACCTCCATGGGCTGCAGGGGAATCTCTGCTCCGGCGCCTCCTTCTTCACTGACCTTGGTGTCTGCAGGGTTGATTCTCTCACGTTTTTCTCCTTACTCCTCCCTCCCACAGCTGCTGCGCGTTTTTACCCTTTCTTAAATACATTATCAGAGGCACCACCAGTGTCACTGATGGGCTCAGCTTTGGCCAGCGGTGAGTCCATTTTGGAGCTGGCTCTGACACGGGGGCAGGCCCGGGTTCCTGCTGCACCCCCACCCCCACCCCACTACCAAAACCTTCCCACGTAAACCAAACACACACAATTAACTCCATCCGAATCAATCTCTCTCAGTCCTTCATCTACCATGTGTGCACCAGAAAATTTCATCTCTCAAATGGTCTTAAATTATTGCTTACTAATTTCTCATGAGATATATATGTAAAGTAAATACAAGGTGTATTTTCCCATTTCAACTGACATCAGTAAACGGCTGTGGTCACAGACAGGTTATGATCCACTCTTGACACAGTAGACTAGACTTGCAGACTCCGAGTCTGAAAGCCCCCGCTCTAGAAAAATACACAGCTGTAACAAGGACCTGCTGCTTTCCGTAAGGCAGTCTGTAACTTTTCTCCTTTGAGCAAACAACGAGTTAGCATGAGGAGCATCACCACAGCTAAATGTCTATTAGGAACATTTTGAACAACGCAGCGCAGTAGCCTTTCAGCTCACTGGAATAAGCAGCATTTGTATCACGCAGAATACATACAATATTTTATTTATCGGAGCTGTACAAGTATTCAAAGGTAACAAAAAATTCAGGATAGTCAAATGACTTGTAGTAATAGTCGGTGAGATCCAGCAGGCTGGCGTGACAGCCACAGCACAGCCTGCATCAGCGCAAGAGAACGTCGACCATTTACTGCCCCGCTGGTTACCGGTGGAAAACCGTCACACGGAGCAGTTACACAGAGCAACCCAGAGCCAGCCCCTGCGAGCAGGCCGTCTTCCCACCCGCAGGAGCCATCGCGGCCGGAGGGGCACGTTCATTTGCAGGGGATCACTTTATTTCCACTCACAGCAACCGGAATCAGGAGCTTCCTGTACTCCAGAGGGAGGTAACGCTCTATCAGCACGTACAACGGCATCTTGTCTGTCACCAGCCCTTGCCTTTGTTCAGAAAGAGGAGAGCAGAGAGGAAACAGAGAATTGTTAGCGAAAAGCGTTTCTGCTCAAAGTCAGAGGAAAGTTTTTAAAGTTTTCTTGCAGTGACATTTCTGCATTTAATAGCTGAAACGCTGCGGCCGCTCGTGATAGAAAAGCTTTAGACTTCTATCTGCAGGCAACTTTCTCAGGTGATGCACTAGGTCCTGCGTACGGTGCAGGCACCAGGCTTGCCTACACGTGACAGCGGACCAAGGGGGTTACTGCAGACCAGCTTCCCACAGAGGCAGGCGTTTATCACAGTGAGAGTCAGCGTATTGACCTTTACCGAAGCGTAAGCTCATTGCTTTTTAAATTCACAATCCACCTGCCATGGGATAAATTTTACCATTTAAAGACGTGCACAGAACGATGTAACAGAAGCAAATAGCTCATTACCCAGCAGATTTTTTTTTTACATGCACAATTCAGAGGTTGTTGGCATTTTTCAGCTGTGTAGGCCATGTAGTTTTCTAGTACACCATTTAGCTGATTGGCCTGAAAAAACCCAGCATCTCCTAGTCTCGCAGAAAGAACAAAAAGCAGCATTTATTCATGCTTTCCTCATGGAAGGAACAGAAATACTGTTCCTATTCATGAACCAGCAACAATTCCTGATCCCTTTATAAGGCGGTAGAAAGGCATAAAGACATTTAGAAAAAGGTAAAATAACAAGTGTCCAGAATCCTCAAACCTGGCCAACTAAACCACTGCACCTCTCAGCCTGTTCCTACTAATTTCAGCACACACCTGTCAGGGGAAAATGACAATCTCCGGACCAGGACAGCAACAGATTGTTCTTTTTAAGCACCAGCTCCATCTGCACAGGCCCATGCGAAGGCAACGCCTTTAATCAGATGTGCCCGCAAAATCCCTCAGATGACTTTAGCATCACGTCTGAAACTCTTCCAGTGGAGACGAGGAATAACAGCTTGGAATAATGACTTTAAATGAGGAGCGATGAATTTGTTTCAGGCCCCGCAGAGTTTTACAGAGGGCTCCCAAGCCAAGAACAAATCCCTCGTGGTTTGCTCACAGGACCAAGTAAGTTCAGTCGAGATGGGGGAGCTGAGGGAGTCCAGAGGAAAGGGCAGCAGTGGAGAGGCTCTGAGAACAGTTCATCCAGGCTGCCGGCCAGCCTGCCCCTCTGCGGGGTCTCAAAGAGGCAGGACGAAGGGGAACACCGCTGTTAGGAGAGGCCAGCCCTGGCCGGCCGGGCTGGAGGCTCCTTTTCCTGCTCTGGAGAGGAACTGTCAGTTTGAGCCCTTAGTATCAGCTTCTACAGAAGCAGGAAGAGTGGGATTTTGTTTGGAAGAGTAAGTCATCAAAACACATAGCAGGGCATGTGAAAACGCTCACGCTGTTTCAGTTGCAAGCACTTTTAGCAAAGAGATCGCTCAGGGATGCAAACGGTGCAGCCCAGCCTCGCGCTTACTGTTACTCTGCTTTTTCTACTGACACCACTCATTTCCCAGCCATAACTGCTTCGCCCTTGCACGCATCCCCCTCCTCTTGCTACCTGTTCCTCAGACTCCTCCTGCACTCCCAACCCCTCACGACTTCCTCTTGCCCCTCCACCACCTTCATCGTGGAGTATAAAAACCCAAGTCCACGAATGCCCTCCTGGGACAGAAGGCCAAGCGGCATCACGCAGATTACATCACAAGATACCACACTGACTGTGGAAATACTTACTGCTACTGCACACCCTGGCAAGGACAGTCTTACCGGGCTATCAAAGCACCACCGAACACTACAGGTTAACAATAACCCTCCCTTTACCTTCTCATGAGGACTTCCAGGTCAGCCATCTCCACTGTCTTCCTCCCTGCATGGCTGCTGTAAGCTTCCAGATCGCTGCTGAGCTGCTTGAAGTATCTCTCTGAGCTGAAGGAAGATTGAGGAGGGAAATAAATCAGGCTGTGGAGTGTCTGAACTTCTACAGGGCAAGATGCACTACAGCTGCTCGCCGTGCAGGTCACAGCCTGCCAGGAAAAACCGTGGGAGGAGAAACTCTCCAGCCCACGGAACAAAGTATGGCTTCTCAGCCTGGGCTCCCTGGAACCTCACAGCCAAGACAGCTGTGAAACAGCTGCACGTTCGACAGCCAGAACCTTTCCCAGAATTCCCACGCATGCAAGAACAGGGGTTAACACAAGTGAAAAATCAGCACTGAGGGCTGATTAGGCTGTTAGCTCTTACGGTGACACTGTTCAAACAATCTGCAGGTTTTACTCCTGAAGGTAACGTGGTCTATGGATTCAAAAAGCTGAGGAACCTGGATTCAGACCTACCACTGCACAGCTGGAACAGCTTCACCTCGCCCGGCACACTGACCGTTCTCCAGAGCCATCCCGCTCGCGGAGAGTGCTAATGATATTAGTGTGCTGTTAGCCAGAGCAGACTGTGAACGGTGCAATTCGTACTGGCTGGGACAAAACCCAGAAGCTCCTGCAAGGTTGCGTTGGTCACAGATACTCCCACAGCGGCCAAAAGCACCTAGCACACCTCTGTCCTCATTTTCATCAGACCTCCCATGACTCTCCCAGCTGAACAGGGAGGGCTGTCAGCTTGTCAGCAGCACTCCTGACAGGTTTGTTATTTCAGGAGAGAAAAGAATGAAAAAAAGACAAGTAAGAGCGGGAAGGGGAGCAGTTTGTTGCTGCTTACCATTTTTCAACAATTTTGAATGCATCTCTGGCCACTGGCATTT